ACAAAACTTGACCTAGATATTCATCTGATAAATCTGTCGACCAAATTTATTTTCAGTATGTGCAACAATTGTGAAGAGAATGAACGGAAACAGCAAATAATTAGAATTCTTCCAAGTCCAAGGGGCAAAACTCTGTCAAAAATGGCGCAGTTGTACCCAAAACACAACTTGACCTAGATATTCATCTGATATCTGTATACCAAATTTTATTTCAATATGTGCAATGGTTGTGAAGAAAATGAACGGAAACGAAGTGGACCGACAGCAGCAAAGCAATATGCCTCCATTCTTCGAAGGGGGGCATAATAAGATTACTGCTTGAATCAGAATTGCAGGGACTATCTACCATATAGTTTATAATACTTGGTGTGTGTTCAAGTTTCAGACTGGTTGATGCAATTCACATTTTTGTATTAAAGAGAGAACAAGCAGTTTCTAAATTCCTTGTCTTAAGCCTGTATCAATTCAAAATGACAAAGTCAATAAAAATAGTAACAAGAGGCCCACGGGCCTTATAGGTCACCTGAGTATCGTGCAACAACTTTCAAACAATTAAAATTGGTTCGTGTTTTAAACCAGAGGTAATGAAATTTGCAATTCACAATTTTGAAAAAGGCACCAATACTTATCATAATTATAAACTTAGCATGCTTACTCTATTTTCCTAATACCCAGATGTAGATCAGAGTAACAAAGAGAAAATGCACTTCCACTTTATAACCAGTTGTGCACCTCATCCCAAAGGAACCACTGACCCTGGGGCCACATATTTCAAAATTTTGCAAATTTTATCATAAAATGGTTGATTAATACTAAAGAGCAGATTTCAAAGCATTAATTTATTTTCAGGCTATGACCCCCCCCCCCCCCCCCGACCAGAGGGCAATAAAAAATAACCATTTTGCTAGATGCACTTTTCTTCATCATAAATATATATACTTGGATCATTGGCATAAACCCCAGGAGCAAAGGAAAAGATTTTCAAAGAATTAATGCATTTTCACTATATAATCATTAGAGCCCCAGCCTAATACCAGAGCCCCTGATCCCGGGGCCATAAAATTCACAATTATGGAAGAGGCACTCTTTTTTAACATAACTATGAACTTAATTAGTTTATTTAATACCCAGAAGCAGAGAAGAAGATTTTCAAAGAATAAATGCATTTTCACTATATGATCAATAGAGCCCCGCCCTAACACCAGAACCCCTGACCCTGGGGCCATAAAATTCAAAATTCTGGAAGAGGCACTCTTGCTCAACATAACTATGTGTTTAGTTAGTTCATTTAATACCCAGAAGCAGAGAAGAAGATTTTCAAGAATAAATGCATTTTCACTATATGATCAATAGAGCCCCGCCCTAACACCATAACCCCTGACCCTGGGTCCCTAAAATTCACAAATCTGGAAGAGGCACTCTTGCTCATCACAACGATGTACTTAGTTAGTTCATTTAATACCCAGAAGCAGAGAAGAAGATTTTCAAAGAGATAATGCATTTTCACTATATAATCAATAGAGCCCCGCCCTAACACCAGAACCCCTGACCCTGGGGCCATAAAATTTACAATTTTGGTAGAGGCACTCTTGCTCAACATAACTATGTACTTAGTTAGTTTATTTAATACCCAAGAGCAGAGAAGAAGATTTTCAAAGAACTAAAGCATTTTCACTACATAATCTATATAGCCCCGCCCTAGCACAAAAACCCCTGACCCTGGGGCCATGAATTTCACAATTTTGGTAGAGGACTCAATGCTCATTACATTCATGCCAACAGTTTGCCTGCTTGATGTCCAGGAGTAAAGAAGAAGATTTTTAAAGATTGCAATAATTTTGGTGGTTTTGGCCCCACCCCTCAGGCCCCAGGGGGGCGGGGACCATAAAATTCACAATTTTTGTTCCCCTTCACCCATAAATGCTGTATACCAAATTTGGTTGAAATTGGTTCAGTGGTTTCAGAGAAGAAGCTGAAAATGTTTAAATGTTAACACACGACGGATGACGACGGACAAAAACAGATAGCAATAGGTCACCTGAGTTACTCAGGTGACCTAAAAACACCTATTAAATGCGAAAAATTATTTAATTAAGTTGGAACCAGTTGGTACCAGGTGCATGTCTTTTTGTGATGAATAAGAAGCAAGTGATTTTTCAGACAAATCCATGTGATAATCTGCTTGGACAAAATGACGTCTACAGACAGATGAACATGCTGATTCCAATATACCCCCCTTAAACTTAATTTGCAGGAGGTATAAAAAACTAAAAAAGCTGATTTATTAACATGGTAGAATTAGAAATAGAGCAATAGTGAAATCTTTTTCATCAGACAGTCGTATTAAGAGTTTTTACACAACAATACTTAGTTAAAACAGTTTTGGTAGGAGTTAAAACAATCAAATACCATCCTGAAAGCACGTAGCATGCTAAAAAAATCAATAAAAGGCTATAAAATAATAACATTTATGAGCATTGTCCTTAGATATCATGTATATAAATAATTTTATTATATGATTGAATAATTTCCATCTCTCTGTTGGCTGAGATCCAACTATGTTAGAAAAATATTACGTTGTATTGACCTGCACGTGACGTTCCAAGTGAATACCAGAATTTATTTCCTCTACATTGATCTAAAAATAGATCGGGAAATTCCGAATTGATACAAATTGCTTTGGAAAGCTAATTAAAAACCTATGAATTTTTTTATCGTGAACAAAACATGAGCGAATATATATTTTCGGGTTAGGGTGATAAAAGGGGATGCAGGGATCCGCCTCCAACACTTTTACCGAACAACAATTTTTACTTTTTGGCGGTCAGTTTTCCCTGATAATACTCAATCCTTTCAAAATCTATCCTATAAAAGGACTGACATTACATTTTTTCATGGCAATTAAAAATGATAAAAAATCTTCAAATTGATACGACTGGTAAGGTTTATTAACATTTTAATTCTGCTTCTCTCTTGTATTTGGCTAGGACTTAAATGCAAAAAAAAAAAAATAATAATAATGAGCTGTATCATTTTATCAGTGAATCATATAATAAAACAATTATTGCTGGGTTTTTGAGGTCAATACAATGATTTAGCCATCTTCGAGGTACAATATTCACCTCGCCCTTCGGCCTCGGTGAATATTGTACTCCTCAGATGGCTAAATCATTGTATTGACCTCAAAAACCAGCAATAATTGTATAATAATTAATGACAAATCAGTTTTCTTATATGTGTGAAATAGTTATCGGAGAAAAACTTGGTATGTGTTAATTGTAAGCAGGGGACTGTTAATCATTTGTGAACAAAAGACGCAGTAGGGGGCATACATAGTATCCAGAGACCAAATATGAACAAGATCTCTCCCCATCCACTTTGGAAAATAATGGTGCCTCCTTCATGAATAAACTTTGAATTCATTAAAATAAACTAGAAAACTGACCAGTCAGCAAGGGCCCCGCCATGAGGTAGAATTATAAGGGTGCAGCTTATGGAATGATTTAAGAAATATATGACGAATAAGAAACAGCAACTGTATTCTTAAAATTTCAAGATAATTCCCGAATATCCAAAAACCTGTAAATAATATCCTTGTATTTATTTTACAGAAGGCAGTAAAGAACAACTCAACACCGAATGTATATCTAAATAATAGTGAAGCTTTTGTTATATAAAATGCCAGCCTTCAATGAATGCAAATACATATCATGAAGGCTTGACCTTAACTTCAAAACAAACAGCAGTTGCAGACAAAGGTTTTCATTAATCTTAAAGTGACAGATAAAGATAAGCCTTCTAAAGTTTCTGCAGCAGGCTAGATAATTAATCCCAAGGGATTAATTGTACTTCTCTCTCATCATTTTCTTCTTAATTTATAATAAGAACTTTTTCAGTAATGATAGAATGAGGTTTTTATCCAACTGCCTTAAAAATTAATAATATTCTTGAATTTTCATGAAGAAAAAAAAATAAACAAATAAAAATAAAAAATAGATCTTCTTTAATCTATTTCTTCTTTTTAGAAGTCAATGAAATTAGAACTCATCGTGTAGGCTATTTCAACAAAAATAAAGTAAAAACATTTATACTTCAATCCACATTTCATAGTGTTCATAGCATTCCAAATGGACTTAACTTCAAAACAAACTTCATTTGCAGACAGAGGTGGTAATTAATCTCAATGTGACAGATAAAGATAATGCTTTGGATTTTCTTCAGGAGGAAAGCTAATTAATCCCAAGGGGCTCATGATTCATTGCAGTATTCAGTTTACAACATTTTCAGAAGTTATCTCTCTTTCCCAATTCATTCTTGTATAAAGTTAAGGAATCTACCCCACCACCCCCGCTCCAAACCAGAGGACATAGAGAAACAAACATAGCATCAAAATATGTCTTTTTGCCTACTGAACTACCATACCAAATTTGAACTTAATTGGGCTACCATAAAAAAAGTTATTAGGAAAAAACAGAAAATTTGTGGACGGAAGAATGACAGATGGACAGACAGACAGACAGACAGACAGACAGAGTGATTACTATAGGGCACCCGCAAATCCTTGCGGGGCCCTAATTAATGTGCAGCACATTTGATCCACAATAAATAATTCATTCTAATGCAAATGTTTTGTAAGATGCATTTTGATTGGCTAATGCACAGATGTTTGAGGCAGTAAAATGAGCATTAACAGGAACAAAAAAATTTCATTGTTACAATAGAGCAAAGTAAAAACAAAAATCCATGACAGATTTCATATACCAAAACTCAACAAAGTAAGACGTAAACATCAAACAAAATGCATAAATTGCATTAGAATGGGTATAACTATCCTATAATTTCATTTTTGCTACCACTTATGCTGACTTTACATTTGGAAAGATTTGATCTACTAGCTCTGCTTATGCATCCAGTGAATCAGCATTAACAGTCGCAAATATCAAATCAAAAGACAGTTCCCTAACTTAACAGATTTCAAATTAAACACTTTGACTTTTTTCAAAATTAATGTTTTTTTGTATCTTTACCTTCTCCTAGTTTGTGGGACACCATAACACCCTGCCTGTAAGACTCCAAACGTACACTGGTATCCCATCCTGGTCAGACACCGCAGGGCTAACTTCAGAACCATGCTACGCTTAAACGACACAAAGTTCCGCACGTTCTCCAGCAAAAAGAATCGGGGTCGATAGTAATCACAGTAACTCAGGTAGGAGGCGATCAGGGAATTCTGTTTAAAACAAACACTGATGTTACCCATTACACATTAAGGTTAAGGTTCAAGTCTTTCAGAACAACAAACTCAAAGGTCTAGGTTATTATGTCAAAACATTTGGAATCAAAAGGTAAGGTCCTTATACACTATTTTTTTGTGTGAGTGCATTCATTTTCCCTTCATTGTTGTTACCTCTGGTATTTCTCTAACATGTTATGCTGACAGTATTAACCAACCTTAAATCTGGAGTACTCCCTGGAGTTGAACCGGTTCATCCCGCTGAACCCCTGACAAGGGGGCCCCCCACACAGGAGCTCTACATCTCCTCTCTGGGGCAGCCTCTGACCTACATTATTCTTCTTCTCTCCCTGAAAATGGATCATTACAATGACTGTTAATGACTGATACACATTTCAGGTATGTATCATAAGTTCATCTAAAAGAATCCTCACGAAGTGATAATAAAGGCTAAAAATTGATATCATTGGGGATTAGGTTTGAAATTGGTTTTATTACAAAAGTACAGTCTAACTTTACCAATAGAGCTGTATCCAAATGTCAACATCATGACTATAAATAAATGTTTTTTTTTAAATGTAGGGACTGTTAAAAAATAGCTACCAGAAGAGAATTAGAGAATGAAACTTTTGACAAAATGAAGGCAGAGTATTATTCATAATCGGTCTCCCCATGACCAACTTATTATATATCTATATGTTATGTGGCTACCTACAAAAGAAGTGCGTTGGTGTAAGAACTGCTATTTTAATTTGCTTGACTTAATTGATCTTCCTACACAAAATTCACGCCACCATTTTCTTAATTATCATTTCTATATTTATGTAATTTTTCCATTCTTACCTAAAAAAAAAAAAGTTCAAAAGAACAGCTATAAAAGTAGAGGTATATAACCCATAACTTTCTATTTAATTCATTAAATACCTCCATAACAAGCTTTAGCAGGTCATTGCAGTCATCCGTGAACACCGTACAGCCTGGGTTATTGAGGCGGAACGCCTGGGCAGCTGGTTCCTCTTTCTCTATTGCCCAGCAGGATTCGGCGACGCCTGCCTGATGGAACCCTTCTGATATACCTAAAGATACAAATGTTATTATGCAAAAATTTTATATCCCCAGTAAATTATTTCCAGGCTTATTTCCAACTGCATATCAATAGATACCTCCACATCCAGCGAACACATCCAGAGTGCGAAGTCTTTTGTAGTCCACTTTCTTAGGTTCTGTTGATTCCTCTTCTACTGTGGGTGCAGAACTTTTACCCTTGCCCTTGCCTTTCCCTTTACCCTGCCAAATCATAAAGACACATGAGATAGAAGTCAGAAAATAATTCCAAATTTTACGCTGCCCCAACACATAAGCAAATAAAACAGGACAACTAATTTTACTTTGCCCCAAAACAAAGGCAAATAAAACAGGAGAGCAAAGCTTTGTCCCACCAAGAAGGCACAATTAAACAAGTACCATTTTTGACTTGACTTCCACCCAAAATTAATGGCTAAAACAGTAAACAAGCTAATTCAGAGAATTTGTGTCCCCCGCTTAGAGAAAAGTAAACCATGCGCAGTTCGAGGGAAGGGAGGGGGTCTGACCCCCCTGAATGAATTTGTAGAATTATTAAATGTATACATGTATACTGAAGCAAATAAAAAATGTCAATATGGATATAAAGGTTTGATTGATTATTCTTTATCGTATGTGTAGAAGATTCTTTTTATATGGAATATTTATCACACTGTAATGATGATTTTATGAGCTTGTACAAGCCAGACCCCATAAATTTTTCATTTCACATGCTGAACTATCATTTAGTAGAAAAAAAAGAATTTTGAAAAAAAAAAAAAAAAAAAAAAATGGATAGTTCGGGATGCGATCCCGGGCCCTCTCACGTGAAGCGAGAGACATACCACTAGACCACGGAGCCGCTTTAATATGCAGTGCTCCAAGTCACTCTTGCTCTTAGGTCGCAAAATGGAGACCTAAAATTTTCTTTGGTCGCCATTTCAGAATTTCTGGTCACCATAATCGAATATTTCACTCGCCATAAAAAAATTCATTTTGTGAATAAAACTTTATAATTTAAATACGGATATGTATTTTGTCTTTATTATATCAAAGATTACTTATAACTGTGAATATAAAAATTTGCTAGGTTGAATGAAATATTTTTATTGAATACATGTACCCTTATTGTTATACAGAAGAACACAAGTAATCTGATTACAGAAATAAAATTTTATCAAACGAAAATACAAGCTTGACAGCTTTTGAGACAGGACTTTGCCTGCTGTTTGTCATGTTTACTTACTACTACGTACCAAGGTACCTAACCCATTACACAGTCATTATACATGTAAATGCCACCAAAACACTCTTTAATAGCATGATTCATTGTGATATGCAAGCAATTGACCAAATGCTTCAATAACGAGGTTGGATCTTAGAAAGTTTACGAAGTTTGGATGCCATTCTATCAGGAACATTATTTATACATGTCTCTGATTCTATCAAACTTTGTACAGATTGCTGCCATAACATTACGTGATCTAAGTCCATGCGATGATTTGTAAAGTGTGTTAAAGTATATGTCTTCAAACATTTTCTTGATAGAGAATCTTGACAAATGAAATCTCGATCCCGATCTTAACAATGGACGTTTCCAGCCCAAATTTTCCGAGTCGCGAAAATGCGAGTGTGTTTTCATTTTTACTAGCAAAATCAATTTTTGGGTCACAAATGCGACCATTTTAGTCGCAACTTGGAGCACTGATATGGCGGAAATTGTATAAAAACATGAAGTGACATACATGTATATATTCACGCTTGATATTGTCAAAATTTTATAAAATGCATTATGTCTAATTAAACTTTTATTAAACATTTCTAATAGATGTAATAAGAATATAAAGTCCCCCGAGAACCTGTTTTATACGTAATAATTCTCCTCATGACCCTGTGCTAAAAACAGCGACATGTAATACAATAAATACTAATAAAACAAACGGGACGGGACTATTTGAGAGGGGTGAGAGAGGTCCTAGGGAGTTTTGGTATAAAATTACATTGCAAAAGCTCAAAATCTTCTTGAAATATCGTGCGAAAATAATAGAGTTTCATACAAAGAGAATGTATAAATTTATGAACTTGAACTTTGACCTTTTGACCTCAAAATCAATAGAGGTCTTCCTTAGACCTCAGGGAGTTGTTATGTAAAATTTCAATGCAAAAGCTCAAACGGTTCTCGAGATATCGCAAGGAAACGAAAGCATTATAACAGACAGACTTTGCGAATTTATGACCTTGACCTTGAACCTTTTGACCTCAAAATCAATAGGGGTCTTCTTTAGTCCATGGGGAGTTGCTATGCAAAATTTTGCAAAAGCTCAAAGGGTTCTCGAGATATCGTGTGGAAACGAAAGCTTTACAGACAGACAGAAAGACGGACAGACCCAAATTAATATCGTCCACTTTTCAAGCGGGGGACAACAAACTCCGTCCTCCAGCCTATCCTTTTAAAAAGGCACAATGACACTCCCACATTTACCCAAAACCATTAATTAAACAGGAGACACATTTCCCAAGTTGTAGCAATCAGTCTTTCTCACTGTAGTTATACAATATATAATTCAGTCAGATAATTTAGTTGAAATACTAAAATCAAGTGGTTTAAGATACAAAGAAATCACATTTGCTCCACATGTTAAATAATTCAAAACTTTCAAATATTCTTACCTTTCCTCCTGAAACCCTGGCTTGTCGTGGTGGTTCTTCGAACATCTTGGACTCTGAATCATAGGCCTAAAATAATACAGCAAGAGATAGGTACCATGTGTTACAGAAGGAGGTGTACAAACACCCCAATTACTAGGTACTCTCCTGCTTTTCATGCATGGGGAACAAAAATTTCAAACCTTATCAAAGCTTTCAATCTAAGAAAATCCTATGTTAAAAATCTGCCTCGATTAAATATCATATTGATTTCATTCATCAAATGAAATGTACCTCAGTAAAGTAGAACCTGTCGAGGCCGTCCGAGAAGTACTCCTCTAGACTCTTCAGATTCTCGCTGTACACGACCTGACACTTCCCCTTCACCAACTTAAAGTCCGCCACAGCCTCTGATATCATCAAGGAAAAAGATTAATACAAGGCCTTAAAGAGGAATCAAACTTAAATTTCGAATGTCAGTGTTTTCCCTAAGAACCGGCAACCGGCCAAATTGACAGCTTCAATAGACAAAAATGCCGCTTTGAAATAATAATTTGTTGTAAGGCCCACAGAGATTTTGTTCATAAACCTCATACCCTAGACTTTTACAACTGATCTCTAACCCTTTACTTTAAAATAAAAGGAAAACACTGGAATGTCTGTACTGACATATAAACCTATTGATTATTTACTTGTTGGGGTAAACAATATATGGGAGGAAT